TCCCTTGCAAAAGTATTTTGATGTAATAAAACAATTTATAATCCATAACCCATTGTATAAACAATAAAAAACATCAATCTATCATTTTATAAGCGAGGTTTCTGAAATAATCAAGTGATGCTTAGAATATATGAACTAACTAAGAGTCTATTAGCAATTAAATATATGTATATAAAATAATATAGGTACTTATGTCTCTGAATATTTTGAAAATACAATGTAACTCCTATATAATCATCATATCAAATCAAAATAATTCATATCAAATATAAAATACTTACAGGAAAATTTGGGTCTGATATCATATCAGACCCAAACTTCAGTTTGAGACCATATCATGGATATGGTCTCAAACTGAAGATATTTTACAATCAAGTTTTAGTTTTTTATGCTTACACCTTTTATCAATTAATATTATTAAGCAATAATTAATACATACTTATTACAATGCCTACAGAAAATATTAATCAATTTAAAATAGTATTAGTTTTGTACACTACCAGAGTCTAACCATCTTAAAAATATTTAAATTAGTCCAACTGTGGAGAAATAAAGAAATACCTGCCTATTCCTTATCCTATTCCTATCTTGTAGGTATTTAGTCTAAGATTTAAAATGTAATTATGTATACATATATATAAAAATATTCAATATTTCTATTTATAGATATACCTGCTGATATTCTTGTAAACTAGAATAGTCAGATTGTCTTAATTACGTGCCTGCACCGGTTTAGCTCGAATTTCGTAGTCCGATTTTCGTAACTGTACCTTTTTCTTTGGATCGCATTCTTGCTCGCCCCTTTTTAGCTGTCAGGTAAATTCTTAGAGGGTAAATTGGATCTATTTGCAACTTAATTTATCAATAATTTCTTTAGCATTTATAACATACAAGATATATGGGATTCCGTCTGGTTTTCTAGTTAAAAAATAGCATATGTTCGACCTTCTGACACTATCTTCAAATATCGTATCATTAAAATCTGTTCATACATTTAGTAGTGAAAATATAACTATTCACATTCTTTCTTAAAATATTACTATTAGTATGTATCACGTTATAAAAAATATTATTAATTTAACATGTATATCTACAACATAACTCAAATTTAAATAGTTTTTTAGTCCACCACAAAACCGATTTCAATTGATGCAAAAATTGGCACAGGCCAAACACAGGATCCACTCCTGTGTTTGGCCTGTGCCAATTTTTGCACACACACAGAAATAAAAACGAATCAAAAGCTCAGCGCAACATAAACTAATCTATCACTTTACAGAGCTAAAACAAATGAAAAAACTTCTTGTTTTTAAAGTTGATTCAACGTACGCAGAGATTATAACTATTTAAGTAACCAAATGTGGACGAAAAGTTCGATCTACATATACAATATTGAATATATACTCTAATTAATTTATTATACCCATATCTGAACCTGTATACGAGTTGGAATGCAAATATCTATAGACATCTACGTTCTGAAAAGGCGTCAGGGAGGTGAAGCACCATTTTTACAGCTCTAGGCGACTTCCAATTAAGAGCTTTTAAATTTTATCTTTTCGCCGTTTCGGGCATTTATTTTCTTTCTTTTGTATTGGACAATATACCATTAACATTAAGTACAGTCTCCAATAATAACATACAATCACTGTGTTATTATATATATAATGCTTACGAAATGTTTTTAACTATGAGTAATTACATCTAAATGCAGTGTGTTATGTTGACTATAATTATCTACTTGTAGTGCAAAAATATTAATATATCTATAATAGATTACCGACAGTTAAATAATATTATGTCATTATATTTTAAAGTGACGTTAGGCCCTCCAATTTTTAGGATTTTAAGTTTCCTAGCTCTTAGTCCGCTACTTCATCTTATTATTCTACTTTCTAAAAATGTCCAATCTCGTGATATACCTACATCATCTTCAAGTCAAATTCCGTTCACCGTTTAGTCCAGAAGGCAGGGAGTCGCTGTCCAATTAGTAATATTAGTACGGATATGTCTCTATATCTTATCTGTGGTACGGATTACCTGCACATTGTAACGTTATTTAATTTAACATCAGTTGATCTATAATCGTCACTGCCATATCCTGAGTAACACTTCTCGGACGACACAACTGTAGAGGAGAGCATATCCATTACAAAACTAAATTAGATTTTAAATGAATCTGTAATTTGACCGTAATAAAAGTAACAGTGTACTTATTTTATGTCATCATCAAAGTGATTAAAGATCGTAATAAAATTAGTTTGGTTTTACGACAGAGGATCTAGACTGTATCAAATCCCTAAGAAATTACCGATTATTGAACGAATTAATGCAGTTTACAAAAGACGAGAAAAATAATTCGTCTAATATAATCATAATCGATAATAATAGAAAATGATTTATTTGCTAAAAAAATAATACTTATATGCATAGCAAGTACGAAAATTAAAGAGGTAAAGAAAATTCTTGAAAACCAGCTTCCTTGCAGTATTTATTTATCTACTAAACTTTTTGTTGTAGAACTGTTTACGTATCTTATCTATATCCGGTATTTAAAAGTTAATAAAGTGAATTATTCAGCCATTTCGTCACTTAATTCATTGGTTTTATTCACGTCATAAAAAGTAAGTAAAACTTTAGTGCATAAAGGCGTATTCTCTCGGCAGGAGTTCGCCGGAAAGCAATAAAATCGATGAACGAATTTGCATGGGACAAAGCACTTCCAAAGTTTAATATAGCCGTGTAGGGACTGCTCACTTTGGTGTAAAAAATGAGGCCCAATCGACTTGTTCACAATTTGACTTTTACGGGAGTTAATACACATTAAACAGATTTATAGCTTTTGGTGATATTTTTGTCTTTCTATATGAGCAAACAAGCTGAAGGGTACATGGTAACTGTGGCCTATACACAATAAGAGCACCTCAGATTTCAAGTTACATGATGTCACTGGGATTTATGTGTATAAATCCCATCCATTATTGTCATATCTACCTATGTTTACAAAAAAGGCGCTTTTCCGCTGACTGAAATATATAAGACAAAGGTAAACCAGACGACATTGTATAAAATCTATCTTAACTGAAAATTATTTCAGACTAGCTGTATTCGCAACTTCGTCCGCGTGGATATTAACTTTATTTTTTTTAAATGAAAACATTTTTCTAAAATAAAAGCAGCCTAAGTTACTTCTTATTACATCAGCTACGCTATCTGCCACTAAAAGTCCCGTCAAAATCGGTAAAGCCATTTCAGAGATTAGCCGGAACATACAGACAGACAGACAAAAATTGTAAAAAATATTATTTCGGCATATGTACCATATTTATATTCATAGGCATGTAGTAAAAAACAGTTATTTCAATATTACAAACAGACACTACAATTTTATTTATATGTATAGATGTCTGGTGAAAAATAGAGTAGATAAAATTTTAGTAACATAAAGTAATAGACCATAACACGAACAACAAACTATGAGTTTACTGCCGCTTATACCCTCAGCGTAACAGTCCACGTTGTCACAATTTATTTTGCAATGAAACTTTGCCCGCAAGTTTTGCCGCGTAAAGCCATTAGTCTCCTTTTTTGTCTATTGACTAAAAAGTTATAATTTCTTTACTAATCTTTATAAATATTATAAGGGAGGGCCAGTGGCGTAGTTAGGTAATCAAGGATCCTGGGACAAATCAAAAAGTCAATTCACCCGACTTGACTTTTTGCAACGTTATATTTATTTTGAAATGGGAGAAATTTTCAAAAGTGTAGTTCGATCGAAATTTTCTAGTGAAGGGCCCCCAGAGCTTGAGGACCCCGGGGCACTGTCCTGCCTAGACCGCCACTGAGGTAGCTACGCCACTGAGGGAGGCATTGTATTTGATAGTCTAGCTAGCAATACTCGTTGCCGATAGTCACTTGCAACCTGAGAATAATAATTTAGTTATTCTGAGCTTGGTACCTACAGTAGGTGAGTTGTCAATACGTTGCCGGTCTCTTAATAACATTATAGTAGCAGTAACTATGAACTGAGACTTGGTCTGCTTTAATGAATTTTCATTCCCTATTTTCGAGCAAAAGTAACATTAACAATTTTAAAAACAATATAGGTATTTGTCTATCTATTACATTTTCACTAAACTGTTGAATGAAAATTAATGAAAATCAATCTGGTAGATGAGACAGTTGAGAGATGAGATAGATGTGTTTCTTATACACACATTATAAAACAATTCAAAAAATACATAGAAATTGGAATGTGTGTTATTTTTTCTCTTAGATTTCCAAGTCTAAATGGTTTGAAATGAAATTTCTTATAATTGTATCTTTCTTTGTATCTCAAAAGAGCAAACTAAGTCGCGGGCAACTGCTACTATAAAAAAATATTTTAATTTTATCCTGTATGTGCGAGTTCTAAATCTACATAAATTGATATTGCAACAAAACCTTAGAAAGCTTACCCTCCCCTTACCTCTAAAAATTGAAATTAGTTCCAAGAATAATTTGCTTTATTTACCTAAGAACAAGTGTACTAACTGTCTAATTGTCTATGCTTTTTGTTATCAAGTTGTTTTATAGTTCTTCACATTACCACCAGATGTCCAACTGTTGACATTTCTACTTGGTCTCCATTTAGCTACGCAGCAGTGTTGCCAAAACACCCGATTTTATGGGAGTTCTTATGACTTTAAGCTACATTTCTTCATACAAATGCTTTGAATAATAAAATCCCAAATAATTTATTATAGAAAAACATACTTATATTACAGATAAGATAATTGCTTGTATACAGAGTATTTATATTATCATAGCACGCCCTCCGAATAATATAAAAAATATATTTATTGTAGGAAGGGAAATGGAGTGAAGTACTATTTTAGCAAAAATGTGTTTTCGTACATTTTATGTCGTCATGTATTTTCTATTTATTTTCTGCTAGAATTCTGGTAATAAAAATTTGGACTTGGCAACATTATTTTTAGTTTGACATTTGCAAGCTTCATACCGACGCGTCACTGACCGTCGTATTTTATTTTATTTTATAATTATAAAACGACAAAGAAAATTGTGATAAGTGTGATTTTTATACAGATCTTCGTGATAATAATAGTGTTAAGATTGTTATGTTATTGTTGCATAGTGGAAACGAAACGAGGTAAGAATGCGATGGTTCTGTTTAGAAAGAAGTTGTTTGGGATTTGCGGGATCGATAACCCGGTCGGCTTGCCATGAGGCGCCTCGCTGAGGTTATGTCGCGAGTAGCGAACAGGTATTGGAGTACCGGAGTTCAAGTAACGGTGCCGGCAGCCGTAGCCGACCGCCTCGCATTACATTTGTACAATCCGGTCGCTCCTAAGACCAGTTAGTGTATAATATCGTTTAGATCCTCATTTACCGCCCTCATTCCGTTACGCTTACCACCGAACGCAAATGTAAATAAATATTCGGTAATCAGCTTCGCTTTAAAGGAAGAGTGACCATGCCCCAAACCTTTAGTGAGCTCGACACCTCTTGACATTCCTTCTGAGATATTCGCCTATTTTCCAGCTTACCCTGCCTGCAGTGCGTGCCAAGAGCCCCAGAGTCCCAGCCATTAGATTGAGTGGAGTGTCCCCTGTGTCCAACCACACGTAGCCCTGTACGCAGCCAAAATTCCGCGAGACACAACGGACACCTCCTCCAGCATGGATCTGGAGAAAGCCCCCAACCTCCACGAGGAAGACTCCAAAGTTACCCTCACTATCAGACTGATTATGCAGGGGAAGGTAAGAGAAAAACACTTTTTATTCAGTGTTAAAATTGGCACTATTTGCTTAAATTTATTTATTATCTTAACTTGTGAAAGTGTACACATTACCTTCTTCTAAATTCCACTGTCTTTGTGTGTAGTGATTATGTCACTTTATTATTTTAATTTGCTATAGATACCACACATTCCTGTACATCTATTTTTATTTTGAAAATAGTTTGCAAGACAAATAAGGAGTTTAGGAAGTCATTTCAATTAGTTTATAAGAAGATGGCATAGCACAAGTAAAATCTTATTATTTTATATGACATTTTTTACTTGCCTAGTATAATTCATGCTTTTTTATGGTGCCCCTGCGGCCTAAAGTAATAGATATTATATTTTTTGTTTATCTTAAAATTTATCATGGAGCTTTGCAATACTAGTACTCATAGTAAATCTTACATTATTTTATACAATCAGAATATAAAATTAATTTTGCAATATTATCTGAGGTGATATTTACTAACTTAAAGTAATGAAATGTGTTATTCCACTACATTTTCTTGTTTTGTGTTTTATGATTCCAAACTAATGTACAGCAGAACCTTTATAAAGGTAAATTTTGTCTCTTTATTTTGTAGAAATTCTTTAAAACAATAATTATTAAGTCATAAATATATATTAAAATATGCTGTTACATTTTACAAATATTAAATATAAAGGCTAAATTAAAACTTTAAAGTAAAATGTCTAATTCTTTAAAAAGTTATTGGTTGATATTAAATTTAGATTTACTAAAATATAAAGTAATGCTCTTAGGAGTTGAGTCTATTTAAATGTGTAGTAATCTAATATGACTTTGGAATCTTAATCTTGTTAAGAAACAAGCACTTGTATGGATTCATAGTAGAAGATCCCCTTTGTTACGCTTATAGGCTTGCTTTGACTAGGTTTTCATTATTACACTTAAATTTAATTTTACCTTGTATCATTGAAGTGAAGGAATCATATAGATATTTTACCTCCTAAAATTATATAATAATGATAATAAAGATGTTTATTTTAGTGTCAATGGCCCATTATATAAATCCATAGTAACATTGTTTTTTGTAACATGTACTGTATAATGTATTCAAGAGCTATCTATCTTTTATTGATTGAGTTCAATGAAATTATATTCATTTTAGAAATATATGCATAATAATTAATTACAGTTTAATTTTCTATTCATAAATTATTGGTGTTTCAACTTAATGTCAGTAACAATTTTATTTCAACTGCATTGGGTAACAGTACTAATTTAGCACACCTAGATGCGTCGAGATTGAACTGACATGTGAGACATTGATATTATCAGAGTAAGTATATCTAGCTCTTACCTATAGGTACCTACTCTTAATTGGCCATAATCCAATACAAAGTACATCTGGCGTTGTGCCAGTTATCGGCGCTCGCTGTGTTCATCAAAGTTGTCGATTTATTTCATTTTCTAATTAAAATAATATGGGATACATGTGTTTTCTCTTGTGTTGTATGTGAGCGTATTTTATTCTTACCCTGCCTTTATTTCCATTATCTTTTTCTGTTTCTTGAATATTTAGTGGATTACTGTTTAGTTCTACATATAACAGTCGTTATCTAAATGTATATTAATATATAAGTTATAAATTATAGATAAGTTAGATAATAGCTATGCTAGTTTGTAATACCTAATACTAATAAAATAAATTTATATTGTTGTCGAGAACGATGTTTCGCTAGAATTCGTAATGTAACCTATTTAACTCTTGTGCAAGTAGTTGCCATCATTTAGTGAAAGTGAAGATAATTGATTGATTACATTGAAATTGACCAAAAATCGTAACTAGTTTTGTTCGAATAAGAAAATCTTTCACGCTATTATTTGTCTCTTAGTTAGTTAATTGCAACAAATAAAAGAAATTTGTAATAAAACTAAATTATTATTGGCTTATTTCTTACTTTTTTTTATACAAATATACATATGTCAACTGTAAACAAAACTGTCACTATAATAAACGTAAAAATAATCATTGCGAATAATTAATTACAGTTCTTTGAACCCAGTGTTCCTAAGTTTCGACATCTATTGATTCTATTTTGGCCGTGTTCAAACATACCAGTACACTACAATGCAACAGCATTGTTCTCATACTGTAGGAGTCAACATGATGCTACATTGCCAGGAACACACCTATGATATACCTAGTAGCTACTCTAAAACTGTCTTGACGCGGGCCCAATGCCTGTCGACAGCATAGAAAAGTTTGATGCTGTGACTATTATTGGCTACCAGACAGGAACTCTTTTGTGCTATAAATCTTGGAGCGGTGCATTAATTACAGTTGCGTTCATTGCACAATACTTGCCAATGTAGTGCCAGTCACAAGGGGTTATTTTCGTATAGAAATTTAGTTTAACTGTTGCATGGATCTAATTAAAGTTTATTAAGATTGTTATATCTATCATTTGCAGGAAGTTGGCAGTATCATTGGGAAAAAAGGAGAGATTGTTAAAAGATTTAGAGAAGAGGTAAGATAATACATATTGAAAATTTTTATCATTTCTCATTCGTAAATATTCATGATATAATATTTAGGTTTAGTTTCGTCTTCATTAATATTACTATTTTATCAATTCGATGTTTGTTTTATCTTTATATTACGAGGTAACTTCCCGAAATATAAATAAATATGGGCGATTTAATTTTATCCCATAATATTTGTTTACATTCTTTTAAATAATTCTTATTCGTCTTATTGGCTAATAAGATAATATTTAAGTAAACCTAGGAGTATTATTGAAGACAAATGAAACTTTATTTACATTTTACTATTTACGATGTTGAGTACCAGATCCAACAAATTAAAACAATTTTCAAAATTAATTTTAATGCCGCTGGAATTCATAATTTTTATTTAAGTTACATTTATTTCTGTTGTAATATAAATGCCTATCTGCTATTTTCCGGATTTCGTAATTTGGGTAGTGATGATATCTACACTTTTTTGTTTATATTCACTGGAAAGTTATGTCCATAAGTTATCACACGCAGATGCCAAGGAATAATTCATGATAAAGTTGTTTAAATGATAAATAACAATCTTATTATTAATAAGTCATATGTATTTTTTATTAATATTTCAGTCCGGAGCTAAAATCAATATATCTGATGGATCGTGCCCAGAACGAATTGTTACAGTCACAGGCAATACAAGTGCTATATTCAAGGCATTTACACTCATATGCAAAAAATTTGAAGAGGTAAGTCATTTATTTATTTTAGGTCTATGAATTCTATTTGAGGTAGTCAGAGTCATTTAACAGTTAGTTAATAGCGAATGTACGCAATATTTGATGTGACCCACATTTCAGCTGATAATATACCTACTAACCTACCGTTGTCTGATTTACTTAGTTTGTTGCCGGTGTCTCTACAACCGGAGAATTAGCAGGCAGACAATGCCAACGGCGAAAGACAGTTTATCGCAGAATATTATGTGATACTCCGTTTTTCGCCGTTAACTTAATACTTGATTTGATTGAGACCAAATTTAAACACCTGCTGATCATACAATTTGCGTTTTCATTCTACGCTCTTTTAATTGAAATTTGTAATACAGTTTGAAACATATTGTTTCCTTTTTGTGTTTGTTCTCCATACGTAGTATAAATTTCGTAAACCAGCTCATCTCAATAATTTAAGAAATAATAAAAATCCATGTATAAATGGTTTATTATTATTTCAGTGGTGCTCTCAGTTCAATGAAGGTGGCGGCGGTGGCTCTCGTGCTCCTATCACTCTACGACTCATTGTCCCAGCGTCGCAATGCGGCTCGCTTATTGGCAAAGGTGGCTCCAAAATCAAAGAAATCCGGGACGTGACTGGAGCTAACATACAAGTTTGTATTTATCAGAAAGTTCAAAACATTAAGCAAAATATATTAGGCCTGACTTTGATAATGCACCAAATGGCAATCATCTTGGTGGCTAACTACTGATCGCCAATTTGTTTTATTTAATACTAAATGTTACCCATGATTTCTTTTTTTTTTTTTGGATATCCTATGACTGTAAATCTTTAAATCAATTTTTTTAAAGTCCATTAGTAGTTAGTCCACAGACTTAGTTCTGTGAGGGTAATAGACAGACAGACATCCACGCTATGAATATGTCCATGTTATTTAAATATACTCTGTGTGTAGGAAAATGGTAATGATATACAGATTTTTTTGTGATAAGCAATTAAACCTCATCTCTTAAATTTCCACATATTTTTCTTCAATTTTCTAGAACTAATTTCCATGTATCTAATAAAACAGGAATCATAGGTTTATAAATTGCTTGTAAAAAGTTGTTAATGCATCGTCATCTGGATAAGATATCCATTAATGTATGTATCATTTATTACACCCTGCGAATACATAAGTCAAAATGTAGGTGTAACTTTATAGTTCAGTAATATTTGATTATAGATTTAAACATGCTTATTTAATCTACATTATAACTATCATGATTTTGTTTAAATTTATTTTCAGGTTGCAAGTGAAATGCTGCCAAACTCAACTGAAAGAGCGGTGACAATAAGTGGTACTTGTGATGCAATCACACAGTGCATTTATCACATTTGCTGTGTCATGCTAGAGGTGAAAATTATGTCTTATCTAATAAATATAATTTACTCTATATATTTCTTTACGCTATTGGATAGGTAGATAGAACCATTGGTTTCTTCATTTACTCCAATTCTTAAACTTCTTTATTTGATAGTATATAGTCAGTCCACTCTTTTAGGCTGTAAAAAACCATGACTCTAGATAGAATATTAACTAAAACTGCCTTATAACTACTAATCTATTACACCAGCGCCATCTAATACGATGGATAAATTCGTCTTATTATGTTATCTCTAAAATAATGAATTCTCTTAAAATAAATTTAGCATAAAAAGAATTATAATAATTTTTTTTTAGGTCCATTAGAGTCGAGTAAAGTCCATAAGAAATCATTATATGTGGTCTTTTGCACATTTTGTAATTCATTCCGTTACCTAAATTATAATAATAAATATCTCGTCTTTTATGAAATTTTTTTATTAATAATGCTGTATTTTTCTAAATGTATGTAATGCAAAAACTTCTCACTACCATATATTTAACACACACATGCATTTAAAAACTTTTGTTTATTGTTAAAAAGTGTGTTCTAATTGAGAATAGATTATTATTATTTATCTTTAATATTATTATAATTTTATTTTACTGCATGTCAAACAACCATAATAAAATAATTTGTTAAATGTATATATTAGTTAATTATGGTCCAATTTCGAGTGGACGACTACTAATTATAAATAAATACCTATATTATTTCAGAGTCCGCCTAAAGGTGCGACGATCCCATACAGACCAAAGCCAAATGTCGCGGGTCCCGTCATCTTAGCTGGAGGTCAAGCTTACACCATTCAAGGAAATTACGCTGTACCAGCTCAAGATGTGAGTATGCGATAGAATTTCGTGCCTATATTTAATTCAATTAATAATACATAGTTGATTTCAGTCAGTTATGATGTCATTGGTTTATACTAATTCAAATGAAACCTATTATTACATATAATTATTTGCCATCTATCACACTGTGCCAATCCAGAAGTTCAGCCTACTTATTCTTTTCGTGATCATTTTAAGTCCATTTTAGCTACGGTATGTAACTAAATTTCAAAGAAGATTCCCTGAATTATGCAAAAATAATCACCGAGCATAATTTAAAATAGTAGTATATCCGTGAACTGTTATTTACTTATGTTGTTAAAATATGATTATCAAAGTAACTGCAATATTTGCATGTAACTAAATTTAACTACAATGTGTTTTAGTTACTATAGGTTAGTTATAAACAATATTTGAAATCTTAACCGTTAGTTCCATTCTTGGCCATTCAAAGTTGCGTAATTGTATTAATACAATTAAACAACTTTATACAAGAATAGTATTTGAACCTTTCATAAAGTTGAGGCGAGTGCTATCGGGAAAAATACTTCAAACCTATGAATTACGATATACTCGATAAATTATCCACTCAACCAAATTACAATGATCCAGTACAATGAAATTTATTTCACTAGAGCGTCATCAAACTGTCCTAACTTGCCACCAAATCTTTGAATTAATTGCGGTGGTTAGAAAGTACAAAAATTTTTTTTATACCTCAAACAATTTTTATTGTTTGTTTTTATAAATTTAGTATTTATAAAAAGTGACAATTCGATTCTGTTTGATATACTTTGCGGAATAAATAACCTTAAAAAATTGTAATAAATTTAGATGTTGTATATTCAATTGTTATAAACCATAATAATAAATACGCGCTGTTTAAAATTTAATAAAATGCCGGCAATCGAGAAATCAATGTATCATTTATAAAATAACATTTCAAAATCTAAAATAAGAATATATTTATTATTAAAAATCTTGTGTGGTAACAAAATTGGGGCTAAAGCAAAAAAAAAGTGGCCGGCGGCTCTAAACCGGGGTCGGGTCTAGGCCGATATAAAGTGTGGGGGCGTTGGCAGGCGGTGTGTGCGCCCGTGTTCCCCCTGCTGGAAGTGAAGCCGCCCCTGGTGGGCGCTCTGCCGCCGCACCATCTGCTGCCGCCGCCGCTGCACGAACACCACCTTGTGAGTCTCTCGCGACCCGCTCACACCCGACCTCATAGAGACACCCATCTGGCCCAATTCGCCCTCGATACGTTTCTGTACACTTCTCTCTCTCTCTCTCGTACTTTTATATCCAATATTTCATTCCACTTCTAATCTTAGTAGTTATGTTTTCTTCTCGTATCTTTTTGATACTTATAGTCCTTGAGTATACATAGTTGTAGATATTGTAAAAAACAAAGCATGTTTCATTTGCAATGTATCTCATAAATGTCTAAATAAACGCTATATATTTGTACGTTTATACGAAACGAAATTTCACTACAATTATTTCAGATTATATATACTTCAATAAATTACATGAGCGGTTTTAATAGTCCAGTTGAATACAATGTGCGACAAATTTTATTTTATCATACAAAAAATCTCTATGAGGTTGCGTGAAATAAGGGTTGTATGTGATTGGTGCTGCCCCAGAATCCTTTCAATATGGTTTGGTTGTGTGGTGTCGAATCCCTTCTGTAGCAAAAATGAATCATTAACATTGTGTAGTAATTAAATAGACCTAGATAACGGTGATGTGAAGTGTAGGAATGAATTTTATATTTATTTGCGCTGTTCTTTATTTATACCCCTAGCTTTAAACTCTAGTATTCTTTATTATTTGCACGTACTGTTCCTCTTTTATAGTATGTTGGAACCCCCGTATCATAACCAGTATGTTTGATCCATAGCATTAGCGTTTCGTATTAATTTTAACACATATAAATATAAGAGATATATGTGTATTAGAGAAACACATTGAAGCTTTATCTGTTTGTTTTCTGGCATTGCCGAGATACGAGCCTTTTCAACAATATACTTTACTGAACGTTCCATACACGCATATGACGACTTACGATGGTATATTGATATTACCAAAGGTATATTACCACCCATATTTGCACCTCTCCTTATTTTGCCTTTTCTCTTCCAACATCTTGTGTATAGTTTAATTTTTTTCGATTAATATCAAATTAACCATGGAACCGCATGGCTTAACGTGAAAAGAACAGTTTAATAGAGTTCAGTGAATATTTGCCTAGTCCTGTATTCCAGAAGGTGCATATTTATATGGGCAGCACCACTCGAGAACTCACAATGTGGATTGAAGTTTTGTTCCATAATGGTTCTAAGAAGATTCGCAGCGTTGACTTAGACATATATAATTGTAGATTTAGTTATACTTCGTAACTTTTTTAATAATGTACAACAAAATTAAATAAGTCCGAGGCATCATTTTCACGTCTTGACAAATAAATATACTTACTTAGTGTGCAACGTTGCGAATTTTCTAAGTTATACTAATAATTACAATCTAAAATCTAGTTTCTACCCAGGTTACCCTATCCAGCGATCCCATCCCGGCTATGTCAGAGGAGATGAAAACAAGCAGCTGGAGCTATTTATATTTTTCAAAATTTTCAAAATAAATATAACAATTGTGCATATTATGTGATATTTTGTAACAAAAATTATCAATTTTATATAATATTTTAAATATATTGGCAGATATAATATATTGTTTGCAAATACTAATTTAAGTGAGCTAAACATTATGTCTCATATCATTAATTATCATAGAAAATAATGAGATTTATTTTCTGTTATGTAATTGATCTTAATTAATAGTTGTTTTTTTTATTTAATTTGTTTTAGTTACAGGTAATATGGCTTTTTCAACTTTTAAACTGGTATATTAACTGTATATATTTATTTCAGATGGGAGGATTAGCAAAATCGCCATTGGCTGGCCTAGCAGCATTAGGACTGGGTGGCTTAGGGCCAGCTAATTCAGGCGGACTCAATCCTGCAGGTATTTATTTGCCAAAGACGTTCTTAATACTCAAGAATAATTACATATATTATGGGACAATATATTGCCGATTTACGCACACGAAATCTTAATTTTACTCCGAAACCTTTAACACACAAAATCTTTGTACATAGTGTAGAGTTCCTCTAATAAGGTTGTAATTAAACCTATATAAATAAGCAACCCTGGACAATTAACGCAGCGTCATCTAGATGACTGGGACTAGTCCCATGGTAAGCAGAGCTTGTATTATGGGTACTGATATAAATGCTTATATTGTTTTTTTTAAATACATAAATAACATCCATTAGTATGGATTTTTTTATGCATTTATTCAAAACAAAGTTATAACAATAACGTGTTAAACATAGAAAACACCCAGACTGATACAAACAATCGTACTCATAAATATAAATATTTGTACCGTGTGAGGAGTCGAACCAGCAACCATCGGAAGTAAAGCGGTGTGCTGAAACGCTAGACCACCGTGGCCGTCTATATATCTATGTGTACCAAGATCCGAATAAAAATTCTTAAATATCTATTTATCAATAGCATTAGGTATTGTACGCGCGTTATTATGCCAGGGTGCAGTGGTACTGTGATATGTGTTCGATCTATAAAAAATATATAACTTATCATAACAGGCTGTCAGGTTGTTTCCCGTCATATGTATATATGTTATATATAATATATAAATAGTTATATAATAAGAAACTTTCTTAACCGTAGATTTTAAGCGCTTCATTTTCATTTATATCAGCAGCCCTAGCTGCCCTGGCGGGTTCACAGCTTCGCAGTTCTAATCAAGCGCGCAATCAACCCGCATCCAACCAGCAGTCACATGAGATGACCGTGCCCAACGAACTTATTGGCTGCATCATTGGAAAGGTACACAGATATATAAATTTTGTCATGGAAATGCTTGTAATGAGCTTTAAACTATACTTGTCTGAAATGACCAGCGAAAATATACAGATTTTATTAACATTAGATACCTACTCATCAAGATTTATTCATACTGTTAAGTCTTTCCAATTCTTATCTGTATTATTTTAAGATATCGGTATTTAAAAAAGTCATAGACAATAGTATCAAAATCAGTTGCAACAACATAGCGATTTCATCAACAAAATTTATGTTTATTGGTTTACAATATGTGTACTAACAGGGAGGCACAAAGATTGCCGAGATTCGCCAGATTTCTGGCGCCATGATCCGGATATCGAACTGCGAGGAACGAGAAGGTGGCAGCACTGACCGAACTATCACAATCTCCGGCAACCCCGACTCCGTAGCGCTTGCTCAATATCTGATCAATATGAGGTGAGTCAAAATAGATCGTACTATTTCACAATAAAGGTTCCTCTCCGAATAATTCCATCCGAAAGCCCGACGGAGAATTATTTAGCCCGTTCTTGCCCCATTTATGATCATGCCTAGCCCACCTATGAGAATCGATTTATTTATAATCCCATGATCTTCCTATGATTTGTCTTCACCTTTTACCGGGTCGTTTCGAAGTTGGTTTTTAACATTGTTACCCTTTCCGTAACGCATTTGATTGAAAGTTGAATTTCAAGACTTTCGAACTTGCATTTAAAATATTTGTCATTATACGTACCATAAATATTGACTCATACAGTAAATGTTACATTACGTGTAAAAATATTGTAATTAAAAGATGTAAAAAAGTAAGAAAAACTAAAACCAAAGTACTAATGTCAAAGCGTTATAACAATTATGACAAATAATAAAAAACTAATGTCATTCTCATAAATACTTTAAACACAACGTACACGTGACACTAATAATTGCAAACGTCGCATCTCCTTCGAATCGGCCCGATGTGTCGCCTGACCCTTTACAACTGTCCTGTCCCGCTCCCACAGTGTGGAGCTACAGAAGGCGAATCTGGAGGGTAGCACCTCGAGCGGCACCGGCGGTTCGTCAGCCGCCAGTCCTCTGGCATCCGCCATCCCCCTCGCGCAGCTGCTCAGCAAGACCGGGGCCCTGGGAGCGCTCAACTCGCTATCCGCGCTGGGCGGACTATCAGATCTGCTCAGTGGCAGTAGCGGTTCTCAGCCGGTCCAGACCACCGGGGTCCACCGGAATCATAAGTCATTTAACCAGCGCAGGCAGGACGACGACACGCCCACCAAAAGTTCCAAAGAGCGAAATAAATATAACCCCTATTAAATACACCACGATCGCCCGCCGGTCGTTCCAATCACTTTGGCTTTGTACAGAAGAGACGAATTCACCGCGAATCATATCGCGCAATTTGATTGATGCCGTAATAGAACTTCAAATATCTTAATCATGGGCATCATATGAGAAAATGTGTTACTATTTGGATACATCCAGGGGCTTGATTTGCAGTTGCCAGTCACAAGCCGAGTTATGGTTTACTACTACATTTTTTATACATAGTTGTTATTGATAACAATACTATTTATATATACAACATAACTAATATACAAATTTTAGAGGGAATTTGAGTTTTAGAAACACAAATTATAATGATAATGAAGTGATAAAATAGAAACTGAACTACTTCTTACCGCATGCATCGTATGCGTAGTCTGGGGAGACAAGTACGAAATGGTTCACAGGGAATTCGCCCTTTTCTGGACAAGGTATTTTGTACGAGCGTAATGCGTGGCTCGCATTTTATTTGGACTGAATTTATCCAAAGAACTAGAACGACTGACGAGCTGGTTTCGCTATTAGATTTCGGTCGCTATGATAAAATATCATACGAATAGAAAAGAAATCTTGCAATCGAGACAGTTTTTTATAAGATAATTTTCTAGTTTTTGTTAAGTGAACAGTAAATTATTTCTTGACTACCTTGGAACTAAATCACTGATATAATAATTCTCTTAATATTTTTAATGCTATTAAAATCATGTACCAACTGGTATCATTATTTCACGATATGCATGTGTGTATTTGCATATTCTCATCGTAGGTACAAGGTATATACAGGGATTATAATCATTAACGAAATGTTGACTTGGATTATGTATATATTATACTTATACATAGTCCGAAATTTATAGATTTCACTTAAAAATCTCACTTAATTTAATCAAGGTTTACGTTAATGATTATTCTAGTATACCTAAAAAAAGTATCAAATGTCTTAACATTAAGATAGTTTTAATTTTAAAGCAAGCGTTTTATATTTTGGGATAGTTTTTGTTATTCTGACCTTTATTTAATTGGTTTACTGGAAAGTTTTGTTATTTTTTCGTAAATGTCTTGGTTATTACTTTAAATATATAATTTATTCACCATTTTTTACTATTACTAACAAAAGAACATGAAATCCAATCGTACATAATAATTTTGTCGATGTCAACATTTTAAAGTAATGTGGTTTATATGTATATAAATATTGATAAATGGGCAATGGATTGTTGTTTGCTTGCAATATATTTTTGTAGAGAAATATTTCATTAGACATGACTTAGAAATAGGACACTTCAAAAGAGACTCATGACGAAATAAAATCAAATATTTTCTGTTATTTAATTATTTAACAGTAATCATTAATCTTGAAGTACCTTTAGAATATTGTACATGTAAACACTTTTTCATTATGTATAATATATATTTAAAGATATATATAAAAGTACTTACTTAATTTTATTTAGTTGATTTAAAGTAGTACTAAACATAAATGTTTAAAGCTATAATTTGGTGGTTAAAGTTGTACGACAAAATTGTTAGTACGTTTAATTAAAAATTAGCTAATAAATAAAACATTTGTTATGTGATGGATAAAGACGACTAAATTGTAAAATAAATACGACTAATAACTAGGGATCGTGACAATAGTAGGAGATACGTAGAAGCTTAAACGCTGTACAATATACAGAGTGCTTTGCGTTTAGAATTCATATAATGTAAATTTACCGATCATAGAGTTATTGAATAATTATAAATATAAAATTATTTCATTCTATTTAAATTATGACGACGCTCAGTTAATGGACTTCTTATATGGAATAGAAATTACAAATATAATTAATTATATATAAATGTGTGAGTAGAAAATTACTATAATTTACTATCATAAATTAAATATTTTTTTAAACTGGAAATATAACCAAGGTAGTTTTCAAGGGGATTCATTTCTAATGTATAATGATGTTTGATTTTGATAGTGGACTGCAATAGTTAATTTTCTAAACTTGGCCAGATTTCCAGTCTGGTGAAATGGCAGCGCGATTCTGTGTAATTTTCGCTGTTATAAGATGTCTAGGAAACAACACATATCATCCTAATCTTTACTGTACTTATACAATGACAAGCTTGACAGCACTGAAAAAAATAACAGTTGAATTAGTTACTATAACCAAATTTTTGGTATATATATATATTTTTAATTGTATTCCCAAAATTGAGCTAAATAATGGTCAAAGTGTTTTAATTTAGTAATATATCTACCTTGTTCGTTTAGTAATTTTCAAGTAAATGGTAATCAATATTTTGGTGTTTATTACTAATGTTTAGTAATCACTTTTTCACTTATTTATTTCAGTGCAGGTCAATTTTATAGTACAAAATTCTGTGTACTAGTGTATCGAATACTTTTTCACATTTTTAGATTTTTTTTATAATGAATAATCTTTCATGATCGGTACATTTATGTGCCTGTTAAAATTGAAATACAGGGTGTCTAAAGAAAACATCAAGCTGTACTTCAGATAAAGATACATACAAATATATATTTATTTTTATTAAGACTGCCATGAATGAACTAAATTACAATGTTTTTAGATGGATATAATAATATTCATTTTCATGTATACACAACATTAGCATCCTTGACATGGCATTTCTTTAATAATTATTAGTTCTTCATAAATTGGTATATCATTCACATTTTTGTTTCGGATTAAATCTAAAGTGTTCAATGAAGTATCGTTTGATGAACATTGACGGCTCTGTATATATGTTTTAAAAATGAAATTAATATTAAATTAGACTGTAATGTCACAGACTTATATTATGGTAAGTGAAAGTGTAGTGGTTACTTTAACCAAAACTTTGTTTCATTCTAGATACTAGCAATTTTAAGAATTAGCTCTTTTTTCAGTGTTTTAGATTTTATAATTAAATATTTGACAATGTTTTTAATCACGTGCAATGTTGATGAGCATGAATTCGAGTGTTTGATTAGAATCTTCTCATATTTAGTGTGCTTTTAACATTTATAGCTTGACTATATAAGCTTAAAAATGTCCTTCACAGTATTTAAAATAAACCTTTTTTAGAAATGTAAAAGGATTTCCATGTTGACGATAATTTACATAAAGTTCATATATAATCTACGAATCTAATCTAAATATTCGCTTTCATGTTCTCAATAAAAATAGCACTCTTTGTATATTTGTGATGCATAGAATTCACGGTAGAACTTAACTAGTTTGAAAATTTTATAAGGCAAATTGAGGATGTAAAGGCAAAGTTGTTGTATTAGCATATTAGTTGTCATAATGTGTAGAAGTAGGACATATAATATATTTGTTTAGAATTTACTATATTTTAGCATCATTCTAAACAAATATAAATTGTTATTTTGTTGACAGAAAATAATAAACAAAAGTATAATTCGACAATTTTTACATTTTGTGGTGTCATGCAATTGTGATATATAAAATGTGTAAAAAGATATACAGTGGAACAACTCTACCAATATCTTTAAAATGTTTTATATAATATGGCAGACTATGTTCTCCGTCATTGTAAAATGAGCACCATACTTAAGTATTTGTAAGTATTTGTTATGTAACATAATACAACACTTTGCCTGTACATACACAAAATAGATTAATGCGAATTTGAAAATCGTGGTCCAATACGTTTCTTGTAGTTAGTTCCATTGGGAACATAATACTTAGGTATTATTTGGCTGCCAATTGTCATTTATTTGTAAAAAAAATCATGTTAATTCTAAGATACATTTTCTTATCATTTCAGGAATTATATTACTCGCTAGAAACGTTAAGTAAAAGTGTATTGTTTTAAAGTACATAATAAAATAATGATGGTACAGATTGTTTTTCATTGTAATTATCACTGAAAAAATTACTATTAATAATATTTTATTGTGTATAATATAGCAAGTGCAGGTTAATATCGTAAAATAAAACGCTCCGAAACATAACGCCTCCTACTCAAGAACCCACGCCATTATCCTGTCTACCCAGGCACCAATATACATTCCCGTGTTACCTGAAACGCTGAAATTATGGTCCATCGAGTACCTACATCCTACAGCTCACTGGATCATCCAATCTCCTGGTAAGATGTTTCCTTTACATTTTAATTTGTATCCTAGTTACCCATTCAACTTATTGTGATTTTCATCACATTAGTGTATATTATATATTAAATTGCGTTCACCCACAATTACTTCCTCATTACTCCATTTCCATGCAATCCATACTGATACATAATTTCTAGCGGGTTATGTAAATAAAAACAACATCATAATTTGTACTACGAATTTATAACAGATAATGTAGGCAAGTGTTGAATGTTACAGAATCACTATGGAGACGGCCGGGCTTCAGTTGCCGGGCTACCACTACATCGCTCCGAACCACATTGTGAAGGCGCCGATCCATTGAATGGGGCTCCGCAGCCAGAACTCCAGTGTTGCATACAAAATGTATAACACTGATCGCACCTTCTTCATGCAACCGCAATACGGGACTCTGGCTCCGATATATTTCTTCAAATGAATATCGAGACCAAAACAATCTAAACGGGATGGGAAGCAATTGGCAAAACATTAGAAAATCGTGCTGAACGTATGTTTACATTTGTTACGAGTTTATAAGTATTTTAGATATTCTTATATTTATCCTCCACTGTATTTAATTGATTGGTATGGGATATATCGGCGGTATAATAGATTAATTGAGAGATATTCGAGGAGATATCGAGATATGGTAATGACGGAAATTTAAAGTGACTGACATTTTAAAATAGTCTCTCAATCGATGAACGGTGAACGACCGCCGATTACACGAAACGTTTATTTTGAATAGCGATCAAACAAATATATTTTATCTTCGTTCACCGTTCATAGGTTAAAACGTAACTATAACAAAGGAACAGGAGTTAGCTAAGCTGATCGAATTTACTATGGATTTAAGCGTCAAGTTATTCAATTTAATCTATTGGATTTATTTTCCGTTATGATCAGTAACTGACCACAAATAAAATGTTCAAAATATGTTTAATAATCGAGTGTCGGCGTAGACTTTAGACGCGTTACATTCGACCTCGGACCCGCTGACGTAGCGTAGTGATAGATTAGAGAACAGAGTGAGAGGGTTAAAGACAATATTTGTAAATAAAATAATCGTAATAACCTGCAAATTTAGGTATTACAGTAATAGTTGCATCGCTATGACGCGGCGCGGCGATACGAAACCGATGGGATCAAATCCTTTAAGAATCTTACATTAAAAGCGGAGACAGAGGCGAAGTGGACATTTCATTTAAATCGTCTATGATCACAAAAAAGACGTTAGATTTAAAAATAGTGTTGCTAAATGTGATAGTCTTCTAATTTATTTTACATTGAATTATTAAGATCTCTAACATACTATACACAATGTGTACATCGGCTACTGGAAATTTTATGTCGTATAATTAATATTGGTCTAGGGATCAAAGCCAAAGATTGTTGAAGTTTGTTTAACATTAATAATGTTGTGGATTTATGCTAAATTATTCTGAGAAGTAGTTACTCTTTAGTGATATAAAATAGAACAGTTTCATTTAAATTATTTTATCACCCTCTCCAGACTGCTCAGTGTACTTAGTCTTAGATCAAAAATATAGATAGTCCTGTGGTAATTGAAATATTTCCAAAAAACATAAAAAAATCTAGGATAAAGTGTAGAATAAGATAACTATAGGACCACTATATTAAATGCTTTCCATTTCAAGTTATTTGCATGAAACAGCCAGGTGCCAGGACACGAACAAGAACACAGTGCCAAAATAACATTTTACGTATGTTATGAATGGAGCATATTATATTATGCGATATACTTATTTAAAAATTCATATTGATTAGGTAATAATAATGTGTCAAGTAATAGAAAATACAGAATGTAATTATCTTTACATAATCCACTGATTAAAGGTTAATTTGCACCCTAGTTGTAAGATTCACAATTAGAAATATAAAAAATGACAAAATAGTCGCTAAACATATCCCTTTTACATATTTTCCCCAAGTCTTCCCCTTCAGTATTCAATAATTTAAAAAATATTAATGAATGTATGTGCCAAAGTTGCGTCTAAATTTATGCATGAATTTGTACGAGACAGCATGAAAACGTTGGATGTAATAATATTTTGTCAACATTGTTGACGTATGCTAGTCAAATTGTTCAGAAAATGAAGACAAAAGTAATTAAATTTTATATAATTATATGCTAGTCAAAATTTCATTTCAATCGGTATGTTTATGTTTGTAAAAAATGACATATTTTATTTAGTTTTGTATGTGTAAAAGTTTTAACTATTTTTGTGTGGTCTCGCTTAAAGTAAATTAGCAATAAAATTTTGATAAAATCAATTATTTATAGTCTAATAAATTGCAATTAAGACAATGTATAGAGCTTTGTAAATTAAGTACCACACAGGTATAAATAAATTTAATCTCTAGAAAAGTCTATGATGAGATAAATTTGAAAATGTAGATGTTAACTAAAGAGAAGAGATTTCATAGCTGTGATTAAAGTCGGAAGGGCACTTTTGTGCGAACTGCTACGTCAGGTAGAAGCTATAAATTGATTATCGGCGTAGATGCGCAGGTAGTGGATATAGTGCACGCTTGTTAGATAATTACGAGGCAAAAGCGGAGAGGTGCGTGCTATACGTGCGAACAAACAAATTATATTTTGTATTGTGTGTGGCGAAGGCAATTCTAACGCAAGTATTTTAACTCGAAAAAGTACCAGTTCATTGGTGTTGTCACTAAAATATTTAGTACAATACTAATAAATGTACAGAGTGGATGAAACAAGCGGGGTAAAATAAAGGACATTTAATACTTCTAGTAGTAAATTTTATTCAAAGAAAACATATTATTGTTTTCAGATTTAAACGACTGTATGCATATGTACTTAAAAAGTTGCTTTAAACAATGCCTACAAATAAAATCGGAAAATAAAACATTCGCTACATATGTGAATGATTAATTTTCCGAATTATAATTTGAATAAAATTTGCTTACTTTGGTATTGACTCGTATGACCCAATGATTTTTGAGCTCTATATATAGATACATATTCATTTCATGTCTAGCTATTATGTTCAATTATTAATAATCACAGCAATTATTGACAATCTTTATTATACTTAGAATATAATTATACTATGGTTCATAATTATTGTTACTGTTATTTTGATTTGCTCAATTTTCTCAATGTTTACGTATAAGGTAGGTTTCTATATGTTATTTTAAATTGTTTTGTTGGTCTGTTTAGGACTTTTAAAATCTTAGATAATATACCGACTCCGGTCATAATATTTCTCTTCTGTCTTACGTTATCACTGTCACAGTTTGCAGTCCAACAAAATGTCTGAAAACCACATACTGTGGTCGAGATAACAAATACTAATACATCTATGTGTACAAACATTCAACATTATATCTAAGTTACAGGTGTTACAATAACATACATAATAATTATCATGTATCTTATTATTCTTTATCAACAAAAGTTCTGACAGATATTAAAAAAAATTTGTACTGTGTCTATTAAGATATGGTCGATTTTTTATGCAATCGATAAGTTCTATATGATATTTGTTATATATTTTACTTTGTTGTTAGAATATGATTAAAAATGTGTCGAAAATATAAATTATACAGATTTGTCACCAATAATAATGGTAAATTGTTAACTGTTTATTTTAGGCTTATGAATATTAATTATATTTATTGTTCTGTTAGCTCAATTACTGAACGTTTAAGGCGAACAGATTTTATATTTTACAATGTTATTATATTATTTTATAAACGCTCTGAACACCATTTTGAATCTCGCAATTTGAAATCTCACATATTTTATTTGTTCATTATACGATTAGGTTTTATTCTTTTCATCAGTGATAAAATGTATTTATTGTGGTAATATATATATTCGTTAAATTGAAACTAATTAGGACAAGAAAACTTTCGTACTTAAACTTGAAACAGAAATCTGTTGTCAAATAAAATGAGAGCGGTATTCGGTTGCCACTTATCTCAGAGCGGTCATAGGTAACTAAGTTACTCTTGTTGCAAGTAATATTTTCAATAGTCTGTAATTAACATTAAAACTACAATAATTCTTTATGTATCTGGTGACATGTTCATCTTTAAGGAATTTTAAACACATGCAAATTCCAATTTAGGTACACGAGACACTTATCATCTTTTTTTAATTCCTATATATTTTAAAATATTATTTTACGCTATATAATGTACTTAACTGTACCGCTATAGATGTACCTACTTGCTATGGTGTTTCTAAGACACAAGTAAAGGTGCCTTTTGTTCTCACGTTACCTGCTCTTAATTTGATTATAACCGAAGGGTAATGGTTTTTGGTGACGCGTTATGAATTTACATTATTAGCCTTTATTGACAGGGTCAGACTGCGTTGTATAATAGTGTAATTCAATTCAATTTAAGCAAATATGGATAAATGTAATAGTGAATTTTTTAGAATTTTTCGTGTTAGCACCTGAATTTCAGATAGATACTTAGTGCACCATTTTCAAAAGTCCCTAATGTTGAATTGTGTGGCTAATAGGATAATTATGTTCAAATTAACATCGTGTAAAGATACCTACTTACTCGTATTTTGAAAAGATGTTTTATAATATGTCCCATTTCTTGTGGGTTTTACTCATGAAAATATAAGTAAAGCCATATATTATGCAAATATTTTGCTATCTTCGTAAATAAATGTATATATCCACATACAGGTTTGAGACGATTGGGTAAAAAGGGTTGTGTAATTTGTTAAGCATATACAATAATCATTATACTTGCTTGAAAGCCAACAACTACACAAAATATTTAGATCTACCAAATGAACATCTTATTAATAACTGTAGTAATACCAGGGTAATTGTAACTCATAATTATTTACTTCACACGTATCGTATTTATGTATAGTTTAAAACGGTGTATTTCAAATGCTTAATATTCAGTAATAATACAATAAATTGTATGTGTTAAAGTATATATTATATAATATGATTAATCTAATAATGTTCAATAATGAACATATCACTTTAAGGCATAGTCTACTCCACAGTGTATACGAGGATGCCGGCTACATTTTATTTTTTAATAGATTGGCTAAAGTTTGTCTCCTATTTTCTTCGCATAATAATGCGTTTAGTGTAGGCTATGCCATATTACTCTGTTTTCAATAATCATCTAGTGTTAATGTTAATAGTAATTATTGACTGAGTATAGATAAGAATATAAATGTCAAAAAAAGTCAAAAATCTTATTTCACTGCTGCAATTTGAAAGAGCATTTAATTTTTTTTATTAAATTTATGCATTCATGAATATACTCATTCTAAAAGTTCAACACCCTCATAAAGCACTGATATATTAATAGATATTACAATATTTGAGAAAGCTCAAAATTGTGTGAACCACAACATAAATGAGCATTTTCATTTTTTTTTATTGCATAATTGTAGTTCATCAGTAATATCTTAGTTTTGTTGCGAAAAAATTGCTTCACACATAGTATTATTCTATTTCATAATAATAAATGATCAAAATGTATCATGGGTGATTATGGACACCATTCTCTAAGCCTCTTAAACTGTAAATTATTTCTTTATCACGACCAATCTTTTTCTGAGAACTGTTATAAACTAAATTGTAATAAATTGAGTCCTAAATCTTTATATCCTAGATCTGTTCAAAATATGACAAGACCTTTAATAAAAAAAATATTTTAGAGACTGAGAATGGCGAATCATAATCATATTTAATTCTTAAATATTCAGTTTAGAATCTTTACCACGCATATCCAATATGTACTACCATACTGGATATGCGTATGTCGAGATGGTTTGGACCATCAGTGGATGTATGTGTGAGGCACATGCTTGTATGAAATAAAAAAAAACTTATTTTATAATTCCAATTAAGATAATTCAGTGTCCATATCTTTCAATATATCATAGTAATTGTCGACATATCTAATTTTTGTGAATTAATTGATTAATGTTAATGAATTATTAATGTTGTATTTACGGTTACAGTATACTGTCATTGAGATTCATTTCTATATAATTAATGTTTGTTTTCATTATGTTACTTCAATAAAGTGTGTAAATAAAATTTGACTTTAATTTAGAAGGCGTGATCTCAAGTGATTCCCATTTTGATTTTATAATTGTAATTCAATTACTTGTATAATTAACTTCCTAAAAGGTACAGGCGGGTATTTTATATGTCTAGAATGGCAGTTAAACTTTAGAAAGTGATTACCGTCGTCTATGGTCATGATTGTCATTACGACACATGCGATTCCCCACATAATTTGCTACTATACTATTCATAAGTCATGCTTCCCTATCTGTAAATCAGAATACAGTTTACAAAGCATGTCTCTTTGATAGCCTTTATTTTAGGCACGACTAAATATCGACTTTTAAAGAGAAACCGTTCAGACTGTCTATTCCTCGACACCATAAACGTAGAATACATATGTAAACCGATATTTTTAACAGTCAATAACGGGAACATTTGGTATTTTCACACGCAAGTGTAACGTGCTCCTTACAGCCTTCAGTGCCTACTTAAGTTTACGCACTATACGTACGTAACACTTATATAATTGAATGGAAATCTAAATAACTACCACCGGACCACATTGGTATATTTTTAATATTTTTAGATTGTAGATTAACAGACACACCGAAGAAAAATTAATAGGCGATATCACAATCTGTTTTTATTCGTCTTTAAGGGTACACATAAATTTCTTAGTGAGAATGCATTAAAAATATGTAGGTACTACTTTATGTGTTGTTTTTGTGGTAACAGTAAAAATATGTATCCGCTACGGGACCAAATACCTTACACAAGTGCAAGAGAAGGAAGTATTCAGCAATGCAATTCCCTTAAATTTATGTACAGGATACCCGTAGCAATATTTTCTTACCTGTGGTCGTAGGCATGAATGACTATTTTCATTGTTTACAAAATAAATAAAATGCACTTTGTACCCTCCACTGGCTGAGTCCTATTTTCAAAAACATGCGTAACATAAATATTTTAAAGGTTGTAGGTACGATTACTCCAGATAGTATAGAAAAGAGAGAAGGCAGATAAAAAGTATTTGGAATGTAGCGAACTCGATGCATCTTTAACACATTCTATTTGTAACAAAGTAATATGTATATTTTGCTGTCGTAACAGCGTATAATATTTTTAACATCTTACTCATCAGATACATTAGAGTAATACGTGATTGAAAATCCAATAAAATATTATGTTGCTCTATGTTTGTCATATGTTCTAGATCTATAAACACTGCATACTTATATGGTTTCTATAATTTCAATAAAAAATAGTCTCATTGTTCGTGAATGCACTATGTACCTATATAATATAATAATACTTTGGCTGTTTATATTTAATATAAATAGCGAAAGCACTAATAATTAGGCAGGTATTGCTAATTAATCAATTATTAAATGACCCCTTTAAAAAGCTACTTTTTAAAATTACAACAAAAGACCAAAGCAGACTTGTAATGGGATAATCACCTACCCATACTTCATTACATAGAGAAGTCAACTTATATTCCAAGCTATGTAGGTAGGTTAGGTACCTACTATATTTATACTTCACTAACGTATCTATTGCAAGCAATCATAATCTATAAATATGTCAATTTATGAAGTAAAAACTACCTGAATGACTACTATTTTTGTAGAGTTCTGCGGGCAAATTACTACCAAAGATAATATCTTCGAATTTAGATAATCATTAGAATAAGCTGTAATTTCCGGAACGAAAATTGCTATCAACTTATAACTGTCAGATTTTGCATTAGTACCTACTACCTAGTATGTTCATAAAACATTGTTACTTGCGTATAATTTTGGTCTTCAAATCGGTCAGATAGAATAATATTAACTTGTAATATAACGAACCCGAAAATTAACTATCGTTTGCAAAAAGAGCACAAACTAGAAACTGATTTAATAGATATCGCATAAAACAGAACATTCAACAAGTACTTGTTTGCCACTTACTTTGTAATTGCGTAGTAAATGTAGCTACAAAAATACAGTCGAAATGGGAACTGATTTTTATAGTGGCTTCAAACTTAACGTAGGTACTGAGTAAATTAGAAAAGGGTTTCTTAATAGTAGTCGATAAATACAATCATTAAACATTATTTTCATTATAAAATAAGAGTACCTAGAATTATAATTTTCGTGTATTTGTTAAAATAGGTTAAAAAGATTTGGCTCGCCTGCTGTTTGCTATTAGCGCTCTTTCACGCGATGTCTTGGCGCCCTGACCTCCGCGTTATTTTATTACTTATTGACTTGCGTACTTGTTTTTGTGCCTTAGTAAGAAAACCCAGTTAAAGTCCTACTTTAAAGTAGCGAAGTTTAAGATAATGTTTAAACAAACAAAATTAGTAAAAAAGATAGCCCAGGGGTAGCGAAAACCCAGTCAATAAAATTGTGTAATAACCAAGGTGTCCAGAATTTATTAAATTATCAGTCGAACTTTAAACCTCCTAATTGATTGCGATACCTTATGCTTTGTCTAGGTGGTCTTAGACTGGTGAAGAAACAAAAGATTTACGGTGATCGGGCACGGCAGAACGGCGAATGTGAGTGCGCATGCCCGTCACTGCGCCACTAGGAGGCGCGCTGCCCCCTGGCGGACTCGCGCCGCAGTGAATTGCGTAACAAAAGCACACTCGCCTTCTAACGCTACACTGAAAACTTTCGCTCCGTGCGTGCCGACGGAATGGATAAACGTAAAATGAAATAAAACTTTCCCGCGGTACGCGAACCTCTATTATAACGTTAAAAATCGCCTCGTTACCGTCCCGTATTGCTGTGGAAACCAGAACTCCAGCTTCTTGCTTTTCTTTTTTAGTTTATCAAGTTTTCTTCTAAAGTTGACTGTGGAGAAAAGTGAACCGATGCGAATTTCGCCGGTTACGTATAAAATTGTGTGGACTATCTAATGTGTTGTGTTCATTTGTTTTGTTTTGCTTTGCTTCCTGGCGAGTGGTGAAGGCCGGTGACCGTTGGGACGGCGCTGGTGGTGGTAATCGATAGTGCGGTGGGAGCGGCGAAGGTAACTTTTTATTATGTTTTGTTTTGAGTCTTTTAGTCTTCGTAACTACCATTCATGTGTTTTGAAACAAATAGTATGTATTGAATTCCGATATTATTATTTAAATACACATTTAGGATATCCACTAAATAACATCTTGCACAAATAGATAAAAATGAATAAAAACCACAATTATGGTAAAATTAATCATTTGTCATAATAAATGTAGGTAGGAAAATTAATTAATTCTTGAGTTTCTTTTATACAATGTATTATAATTATATATATATATATATATATATTTTCGTCATAGATAAAAGTTTTTGTAGCAGCTTTCGTAGACGGATCGATACACAATGTAGCACCGATGCACACATTACGCCTTGCATTTTCCACATTAAAAAAATGTTACCAAAATTGGGATACATCCAAACATGACGTATGCTTTCAGGAAACTAGGTCAAATAAATAGGTCTAGTCCTCTGAGTAAAACATTTTACGTCATTCTTACAATACTATCACTTAGTTTGTTGCTAGGTAAATTAATATCGTAGTAGTGCACTGCATGTAAAGTATGACTTTAATAAAATTAAAATCCATATTCCTGTGTATGAGTAATGATAGAAGGATTCCATAGGAGAAAGGGAAGTAATTCTTTATGTATTCACAATTTTCACCTACTTTGTAGCATCGCGACGTAGAGACTGCTTTGCGCTGACTCTACGAATAATTTACCTATGCAATCAATACCCAGTGTACCTAAATATGTATTTAGACCAACCAAGTACAGTCTCGGTTTATAATCTCCACCTTCTCTAACTATTGTTTTGTATAATGTTTTGAGAGATGGTAGCGTTTTATTTATTATCTACTTCACGGTATCTATTCAACTGAATTAGCAAAAATGTTAACTGCGCAATAGTTATTTCAGATAATTAACTATGCAGCTACCTGTAATATTTTAAGCTAGTTGATGATGTTTAAAATAACTATTGTATGTTCTTGCATTATTTTTAGTCTGATTATATTTTTCAGCTCTATATTTATTACAAACACAAATAATGTGATTATGTATTACAATGGAACCGTCAAGTACTGAAATGAAATCGGATTGATCTACGCTGAAATATACAATGAAGCACCATTTCTTAGAATTGAATTATACAGTAATAGCATATTCATTCTACATCACGGGTCGGATCGAGTTCAAATAACCTGAGTGGTTAGTTTATATTCCAAGTTTTCCTAGCCGCTAGTACCTCATGTCAAAATCAGTCAATCATCAATTTTAAATATCAGGCTTACTGTTGGAACTTTGTATATAGTACATTATTAGTTACTCTGTCTAAATTAAGCGATTGAGAGTATTAATAGAAATAATCGCCTACTTTTATTAATTTAAAGTATGATTACATTGGAAATTAGTTATAATATACTATATAAGAGTAACGGAAATATTATATACCTAAATAAATTACAAATAGAAAATATATGTGTTTAGATTTCTTTATATGAATATTGCAAATATATATACCTACATGTTTTGTATTTATTATTGTTATTAGGTAACATTGCAGTTTTGCTGAAAGATGACAAATTCAAATTCAAATTCAAATATCATTTATTCATGTAGGACATTTCAGCCGCTTATGAACGTCAAGTTTTTACATTAGATTTTTTTTCCCTACCGTCCAGTTCGGTATATAGATCCAATTGAGAAGAACTGGCAAGAAACTCAATTGAATTACTTTTTTTTTTTAATCCAGTTTATTAAATTCATAAAATGTTCATTCATGTTTCCGTAACAGACACCCATGACAAGTCTAATTATTCAATATATATTGTATATAAAAGATAGTGTAACATACACAACTACTTAGATAACATAATAGAATAACACACATCCAGTCTTAATTTACATCACAAAGACAATAAACAAAACAAATAAAATAAACAATATATATTGTATATAAAAGATAGAATCTAATACAATAATAATTAGTAACAAACATAATAAAATAAGATTTTTAACAAATATAATTAAATTATTCATATCTGCACACATCTTTTGTCCAGATAATTAATATTTGCAAGTCATTTATAACTATTAATTTCAATAAATTATAATTATTATATTTTTGCTAACAAACAGAATTAATTCTAAAAGTCAGTAAATCTATTAATATATTTCTATATTTCCTAGGCATATGACATATATTCTTATTTAAATAAAAACCTTTTATAAATTTATTAATATCAAAAAAACTATTATTATTGTACATATTATATATTAAATTGTTCAATTTATGAATATAATTATTTTGCTCCGCCGTAAAGTAAACAGAATAAGGAAGTGCACAAAATATTATATTTTTTACAGTAAGACTTAAAAGTATTTCAAAGGATTTATTTATTTGTTTTTTGTGTACCCCAGACTATTTCCAACTACATTTCTAAAATTTTATTTATAACTTGAGTGAAAGTGGCACCCGGCATGCAATAATTAATAACTTTTTTGGTTTAATTTGTAGTTTAAGTAAGTACCCAACCTTTTCCAACTTTATCTGAAAATACTATAACAACATTAAAATACGTAATCCCGTGTCCATGTCAGAATGATAAGGGATAAAATATGCAACTGAGGAATTTGTTTTTATTACATTCAGCTTAATAGGAAATTTTAAAAAATGGAACCTATCCTACCATATCTTGTTTGATTAAAGATGATATGCCATAAAATCTAAAACAAGCTCTTGAATTAATCAAGAGAGTGACGTCAGCGTAAGAAATCAGACATCATTTAATAAATACTACATTATCTCAGACTAAATAAGTCTGAGATAATGTAGTATTTATTAAATAGGAACTTTTACCCTCAACTAAATATAGAAATACTTCTATCATCAAAACATAAGGCGAATAATTATGGTTCCAATAAACCTTTTATGTTTCATTATCACAGCGTAAGTCATTCTCCACTTCTATTAAAAAAAATCATCACCTATTCTTAAAATTTGTCATAATTAGATAAAACTTATAACAGTATGATACGAGTACACTACATAAATACATATTGTTTATTGAATATATTCAACAATTAATGCATAAATTACTTTGATAACTATCAAACGATTCATTTTTCATAAAGTCACTTGCTTTCTTGTTTTTAAATCTTCTCCACTGGTTTTTAAATATCTATAAGATTTTAATGTCATCATTCAATGAAATTTGACATCATTGAATCTTTCTTTTAATACTTTTGGCAAGCATTAGACAATCCACTACGTACAGCCCCTGCACAAGTTTTTGGCACAAATTACAATTGTACAGATGTAAACTTTTAAAAATAATATTGTCGAGTCAAAATACTGAATGATACCGGTATGCAATTATATTTATATCATATTTTCAGTGATTTCACTTAGGTCCTTCCAGCATGACGTGTGGTATTTTTGTTATGTCAATAACAGGCTCACCTCTAATATTGCAAGTAATCAAATAGACGTATTAGTATCCTATTTTAATAGCTGGCCTTTCCTCAATATTTATAATTAAAAAATAGTATGTAAAATTAAATGTTAAAGAATGCTGTAACAAGGTACCTAACCTACTTATTTTCTAAACTAATTATAACGATGTCCTTACTATCGTATAGAGTTATTATGCGAAGTAACATTATACATAACAATAAGCAATTAAATGTAATTAGCTACACTATAATTATATATAAATAGGATTATTTTATTTTTAACATAGCAATATCGAATCATCAACTAGCATATAATTGCTGGCACCAGCGACAATTCTTTATTTAATTATATTATTTGAAATTCTAAACGAAATACCAAACTTTAATTCTAAATTTTAAACAAACTATCTACTAAATTTCTGTCTCTATTTTTACTGTGCTTTTGATTTCGTGTATCGCTATCCAAAGATACTTAGAATTTCGCGAAGTGACAACGAATCAGCTTACCTTGGGGAGGGGATTCTAATTGGGACTAGTGACTGACCCCATTTGTAATAATGTACCCTGTCATATCAACCGCCATGCGATCCTTCCTTAAAACCAACGTAGTTACTTCCTTATGAATTTGCAACAATGCACTAATTGACCTGATTTCAGTCTTAAGGGTCGACAACGCCCACGTAACATCCCTAGTGTTTCAGGCGTCCATGTGCTGTGATAACCGTTTACCATAAGATGGGCCATAAGCTTGTTTACCATTGTTGGTCCGTCGGCATATATTGTTCGAGAAGGGGGATTTTCGATATACGCTGATGGACCACCACTTTTGAATCATCGTTCATAGTAATAAACCCATTAAAATGTTGAATAGCTCTTTAGAATTTAACTCTCAATAAAAAGAAAATCATTTACATACCTACTTGCGTGGGGTCGTGTGCGCTGTAATGTGCAGTTTTATGCAACTTATTAATGCTGCATATCCCGTCCATGCGATAAGGCAACTAACGAATACACTATTCAAATTTATATAGTTAGATTTTCATTAAACGAGTTTATTTTAGCAGCACACGGGTACGTGTGTACTGAAAGACTAGATTTTCACAGAAGGCTATCTCTATCTCTGGCTCATTCGTATGTACCTAGATACATTCCAAGATAATAAAAAGCTCATCGCTCATGGTATACAAGACGTTGTAATTACAATTAATTTTCAGAATATCGAAACATATATATTTATATAGCAAAACGTAAATATTTACGGCTAAATTTCGATTGAAAGTATTGCTATTGCTCTTAGGTGATGGGCGACACAAGGTCTCAAGGAATAGAGATAGAAATACTGAAGAAAATTACATATGTGGTAGTTTTTTGTACGGACGTGTGTCCGTTTGTTCTTTATTAACAGGAGTGTTCCTGTTAATAAAGTGAAATGTACGCTGAATAACCACTCAAGTACCTACTGCCTTCATTTATCCGCTTTTTCTTCTATTCCGTGTTACTGAGAACCATTGTAGCCTGTTGGCATAGTCTACGACAACGATAAATGTCGTTT